GAAATATAATAGGATGAATGTAAAGCTGATGTTCTCCCATATAAACTATCACTCAATTAACAATAAAAACGTAATAAAAAAAAGTCAATAAAACTATCTAAATAGCATATTATCTGATATAGTGCTGGAAGATGAGCCCTGTAGATTGGAGGCACCCAAAATACACAGTGGCCACAGCACTGGACTTGAACATACCAATGACTGTGAAAATGTGTACAATCATGCAACCTTTTATTCTGTGGTACATGGGACTGCTATGAATCACAGTCAACTCTGCAGCAAGAGCAGCAATAACCATGAGCAGCTATCAATTATGGAGTATTTGCTGTGTATAAAGAACTGTGCTTAGTAATTAGTACGCCTTTCTCATTTGTTATCTAGTTTAAGCCTCAAAAAAACTCTGGGGCATACTGTGTTGTTGTTGTTGTTGTGTGCCGTGGAGTCTGTTCTAACTCACAGCCACCCTGTACAGGGTTTCCGAGGCTGTAAATCTTTATGGGAGCAGAAAGCCTCATCTTTCTCCCGCAGAGCAGCTGGTAGTATCGAACTGCTCACCCTGAGGTTAGCAACCTGATTCGTAACCAGGTGCTGCAGAATAATGCGCTGAGCTGCAAGGTTAGTTTGAGCCTCAAGGTCAGTGCTTCAAACCCATCACCCTTGGAAACCCTAACCGGTTGCTATGAGTCAGAACCGACTGAGGCAGTTAACAACAAATGCAATCTGTGAACAAACTGAGGCTTAGAGAAGTGAGGTAAATTGGTCAACGTTTCACAATCACTAAAAGGTGGGATCAGGTCTAGCCTAAGACCAAGTGAGGCTTGAACTCCTAATTTCTGACAAGAAGGTGTGTTGGCCACCAATGACATTTGTGCACAGTTATTTTGGAAGGGTCAACTTGGTACTCACCAGTAGGTGTTAAAAGTAAATAAATCCTGGTACCTGGGAGATTGAAAGTAGGTGTGTGCGTGCGTGTATGTGTGTGTGCCTATTTTGGGATTTCCACTGAGGTAGCAGATTATTTCACACTTCTAAAATTAAAATATCAATTTTCAAATGTCTTGTGTTTTACTTTTTGAATCTAGACAATAAGGGTTATATATGTCCAAGGCCAGTTTATTCTTTAAATTTAGATGTAGCAATATCTTGTAACCTCCAGCCTCCTAACCACACAGGGTCACATTTTACAAAAATGCCATTTTTGCCAAAATGTAAGTTGTGAGAACAAACCCAGTCTGGAGAGTGTTTCTGAAAGATCCTTTTGTTTCTCTGGCAACAGCCTCCCTTCTCACCATTTGTTTCACTGTCTAATAGATCCTGGGTTGAAAGACAACAGGGTATGCAACAAGTGAAGACTGACCCACACAGCTGCAGCCAGTCCTGGCTCAGCCTGTGCTGACCAGAAGCTAAGGCAGACCAACAGGACAGAAAGCGAGCCAGCTGCTTCAGACACTGTATTGCAGTGTTTCAAACTGAACTGGTTCCTTCTGGTTCAGCCCCCTGTTGAGAATTTGCATTTCCACCCACACAAACTGAACCAGAATCTACATTGTAACAAGATACTCAGGTGATCTTATTAAAATGTAGATTCTGATTCAGTATTTTTGGAGTGGGAATGCAAAATGTCTGCTGGGGATGAACTGATGTGAACCATTTCAAGATTCCAGGACTCAAGAATCATGGCTGCCATTTGCATTGGCTTGAACTGCCTGCTGTTTGGCTAATTAGGGGAGGAAGAGCCCACTGAGTTTCCCTTTTAGAGGTTTGTCTCACTGAATCTGGAGTCCTGGTGTGGCACTGTGGGTTAATGCACTGGACTACAAGGTCGGTTTGAACTTCAGGATTGGCAGTTCAACCTTGCCAGCTGCTCCTCAGAAACCCTATACAGGGTCGCTATGGGTCGGAACCGACTCAATGGCAGTTAACAACATCAAGGTATCTGGCTGACAATGTTTACTCCCTCTTTCCCATGATTCTTCTCAAAGGGGTCCACTGTTAAGCTAGCATGAGCAAAGAAACCACTATTTCCCAGCAGTGCAGAGCTTGGCCTTACAGAAGTACTTGGATGATGCAGGAACCTCCTCCCGCTGCATCCCTCCAAATTTAGCTCATCTTTCATGACCAAATTATTTTCTGTTTTGAAGTTTTTGTTGACGCCATGTGTTTTCAGGAGCTCCGGTATCTTAGTGGGTTATGAGTCAGGCTGCTAACTGCAAGGTCAGCAGTTGGAATCTACCAACCACTTCTCAGAAGAAAGATGAGGCTTTCGGCTCCCGTAAAGATTTACAGCCTCGGCAATCCTATACAGGGTCACTATGAGTTGGAACAGACTCTATGGCACACAGCTGCCACCACCACAACCATGTGTCTTCAGTAATGGAAGGCATGCTAAAAATCAAGGGAAACATATTTTTGAGATAATATATAGATTTTGATACAATCATGTGGGACACATATGTCCCAAGTGAACTCATGGTAGGACTGGGGAGGTGAGGCCCATTTCATCAGATTCACAGTGATGTGATAGGGCTCTGCCTCACCAGGCAGTAGTAGTACTACTGCTGGGATAGCAGGTTTCCAAGAAACCTGAGAGGCTACAAATGCTGGTGGGTGATATATGTCCCATGGGTCACGAATGGTTAAAATTTGGAGTATTTTCAGATGTTCTGAGATGTTCTATGTATGTGTGAGTAGCATATACAACAGGAGAGGGAAGAGAGTAAACATTTTAGAAAATGCAGACTTTTTCAAAAGATAGCAGACTAGCCCCTCAGGTGTGCTACCTTTCCCTTCTCCCCAACCCAGAAAGAAAGGGAGAGAGAAAAGTCAGGAATAATGTCATTGGATGGCATAAATAAGATCTAAGATATGCACTGGTCTCTGTGCCAAAATGAACACTTGTCATTTATATGAGCAGCAAATAAGAGCACCAAAGAATGTTAGAGTAGCCAACATTCTTAGTGCTTGAATTCACTGGACAAGCACTTTATTAAAAACCAGGCGTAAAGAAGTCTTCAAGGCTGGCTGTGAGAGACAGGTGATGGTATTACGGCCCAAGACATCCCACCCCATCCTTACTGCATTGTTTGAAGGCAGATCACCACTATGTTTCTCAGGATGGCTTGCATCTCTCAGATGACACACCATGGACCTCACCTGCAGACCAGCAGATTGATCCAATGCATTATAAAGACATGAAAGTATTGAGGATGCACAAATGAGTGAAAACTCCGCTGAACTGAGTTTGCACGCACTTCAGTGGGATTGGTAAATTGTGTGCGCTTTAGACACGTTAATTCTGACTTTTCAAATGCCATTAGTAACATTTCTCAGCAAACATCTATGCATGCACACATCTGAAGCAACTGTATGTGAGAAGACAAGCAAAATATGGATCATATTGGAACTTGTTCTATTTCTGAGCAGTGAAATGCCAAACTGAAAGGGATATACTAAAGATTTCAAAAGGAGACAACAGAATCAAAAATAATTTTTTTTTTTAAAAAAAGGTCATGATTTTCAATCTACCTATTTTTCAGAAGAGGAATACTGAGGTCCAGAGAGGTAAGTGCATTTGTCTCAAGTTAAACTGCTAGTTAATAACAAAACTGAAAATCAGAATTCTAGTCTTCCAAATTCTGTGAGTGTCTGCAAGTGCCTGGGTCAAGGTGATCCAAGGCAAATAAAGAGATGAAAGTCCTGAGATTGTCACTTTGGGCTAGGAGATTTAAGGACTCTGATGTCTGTTTAGAGTGTATCCCTTATGCAGCTAAATCAGGACCATGGACCAAGTCTCTCCTGTTGTTTCTCTTGGGCCCAGTAATGCCATTGCCACGGGCCCCTAAGATTCTAGGAACAGAGAATTTTACTAAGTGTTTGAAAAACAATACTACTAATAATAGTAAACCTCACTATCTCATTTCATCTGTTTATTTGGAAGCAGCCCTGCTAAGCTCAAGAGTTTGCTAAAACACAAACCAGAGTAATTCACCTTGCTGAGTAATTCATTTGCTTAGGGGTGTGCTCTTCATTTAGGGGTTGCAGTTGGATTGCCATTTCTCTTTGTTAGGTTTCAGATTAATAAATACCTTAGCTGTGATTGTTTAAAAAGAAGTGCACAGCAGTTTTTTCTTGAAAATTAAAAGCAGGGGTCTATTTGTCTCCTTCCTCGGAGATGTCTTCAAACTCATAAGCTCTCTGTGTATGTGTGTGTGTGTGTGATGAATTTCAGTTGGCAAGACAGACGCACACCCACTTGGTTCAGGTCCCAACTTTCAAGCCCACGTGAGGAAGCATATGAAAGTGGATGCTTTCCTGCAGCTCAGAGAACCCACGCTCACCTTTCTAACAATTTCTAACAAGCTCATTAGTGAGAATTACCCAGGAACGGGGAGAGTCATCTCGCATTGTCTAACCCGAGTGCACAGAACATTCTGTCAGACTCCAGGAGACCGTTTAAACCCGAGCATTATTAAACACAGAGCAGCTGATGCTCATTCTTCCCGGCCCGCGTTTCGGCCTCTTGCAGTTGGGACGAGAGGCTGAGATGTGTGGCAGGACCAGGCTCTTAATAAACTCCCAGCACTTAAACATTCTTTCTCAGCATCGAGCGCCCGCTTGCTACCGCTGAGCTGATTCTCTCACCATAATTGCTCAGTGTACTGACACGGAAAACATGCTTTTAATTTAAAGGGAATAGGAAAAAACAAAACACACACAAAAAAAACTAGGAGTAGTTCCTCAAACCAAAACCAACAACTTGGAGCCCTAAGAAATAAGCAGGCAAGAGAGAACATGTGAGACCAGAAAAAGGCACTGTCTTCCTGTTAGTGAAAGAGACAGAAACCCGGGGAAAACATGAGGGAAGCGCGCTCCTGGTGCCTGAAACTACTCTAACAAAAGTAGACTGATAACAGGGAAGCTGTCTCCAGATGTAAGCAGTTAACTAACTGCCTGCCTGCTGTGACTCTCAGACCCCGCCCTCTACCCACAAGCACACTCACCTGCGATTCCTTGCAACAGCCCGCAGACGTTGAAGATACTTTTCTTCATGATGCTTTGCACGCACATGGTGAAGACGGACACCAAGGCCACCATACAGAGGATGAAGATCCCCACAGCTAAGAAAATAGCAGTGGCCTGCCAGAAGCCACTGGCAATCTCGCCGAAGTTCTCAGCGTAGGGCCCACATAGCGTCTCCCGCTGGACGTGCTGCACCCCAGGGTTACGGATACAGCGGGCGTAGATACCCAAGGTGGGGTGGTGGGGCTCCGAGGAACCCCGCGTCTGGTTGTCAGGCTCCCCATGGCTGCGAGTCGTCTTGGCTTTTCCAATGAGCCAGTCTGCGCTCATGAAGGCAATGAGTTCTGCAAATGCCACGACAATACTCAGGAGGGTCCAGAGCATCGAGCGACAGGTGACAATGACATGACACATATTGATTGATGTTCAAGGTGGAAAAGAGTCAGGACTCCACGGGGTTAATCGACGAAGAAAGCAGAGGAGCAGGAAAACAGCACCGAGGTTCAGCCAGCCTCAGAGGAGGAAGTTGGCTATGCCGGTCATTCACTCGCTCAGCCCCAGGGCGTCTTGGGTTTTATTCCTCTGGCAGCGCGTGGTCCCCGAGCAGACAAGCCCCGCGGCCGGCATTCCTACAGACTCATGACACTTCCTCCAGCTCGTCCGGAGCTCCTGCGATCCCCGCCGCCCCACAGGCTCACCTTTAGGAAAGAAAGGAGGAGGGCGGTTAGCTGAGCTCCCAGGCCCCGCCCCTGCAGCGCTGCCAAGAACAAACTTCAAGTCTGAAACCCAAGTGTGAGTGTTCAACTCACTGAGCCGCGGGTCACTCACTGAGCTGTTCTCGCTGCCAGGAAACTCCCAGCCTCAGCTGACCTCCCTGGCCTCTTGCTCTCACACATCGTCCCTCCTCGGACGGTGCAGCGACTCAGGTCCCCGACAGAGCCTCCTTCTACCAAATCTTGGTCTCCAGCCAGCGTGCCTGTCGTTCCTAGTGCATTTACTGCTTTTCTTTGTTTCAAATGCTCCCTTACCCTACACTGGTGAAGTGTATGTGGTCGTTAACCTTATCTCTAGAGGGCACAGCAGAAGGAGGAGGCCGATGCCAGTTCTTAACACCCATCTCTGAGGCATTTTGCCGTGTTGGGCACTGCCCCAAACTGCTACACTCTGGGGACACAGCTCCTGCTAGAAAAAGTCAAACCGCATAGGCATCTAAATAGATCTACATAGGATGGGGCTAAACTGTGTTAACGAACTGGCTACTTTTTTTTTTTTTAAGTCTGGAGGACTCTTGTTTGTTTACTGATTCATAAACTAAGTTCTGAAAAACTTGCAGCAGAAACTTTTGCCTAACAACAGAGAGTAGCAACGCCCAACTTTTATTACCTGGAAATTATTACTAGCAATACCCTAAACAAACACCGAGAGTAAGTGTTTGTTTCCCAAGTAAATGATAAGCAAAGGAAAACAATTCCATGAAAACTACTATGACGGTGGCAACCCCAAACTATTCTTCATCCATTTCTCAATTGGTTATTTTTAAAACACAATAAATGACATTGATCACAACTCCAGCAAGAGTTCAAGGCTTCCTCACGTGAGGAAATTACTCAAAACTGAGGCATTAATGACCGTTAACTAAGTATCACTACAACTGAGTCAACTTGTTGACAACAGAAACTTGTCTTGAAGAATGCATCCCTTGAATTGTCCCAATTCATCACCATGGACCTCTGGCCCAGCTTTCATTCACCCCTGGTCTGGAACTCAACATGCTCATTGTTTCTGATTTCACAGAGGACTCATTCTGTTTCCAAGGACAAATGACTTCATTACCAGAGGACTTTGCTCTCACAGTGCAAACCTCCACTAGAAGAGCCTGAACTCTGAAACGGGGGCCATCAGACCTTCTTCCCAGCCCTGTTTCTGCCACCTCTCCAAGAACAGGAAGAACCGTGCAACTCATGTTTGCCACATGGCCCTGTTCTGAACGACTAGATCTTACTGAGGCAGGTCATCGTTAACTTTAAGTGAACCATAGACTTTCCTGGCATGATGGGAGCCGGGCCTGGCAGGGAGTTACCCAAGGGGAAGAGTAATGGGCACTTAAGGAAACCCAGTGTCAAAGCGTAACCTGTCTGTTTCTACTTCGTGCATCAGCTGGCTGCCTCCAATTAAGGTGTGACTCTACTTACCTCATAAGAGTATACTATTCAAGATGAATAGTAGGGGGAAATAGCTAGCAAGCACAATACTAAGACATCGGCCGTGTGTGTGTGTTTGATAGGACTGTACTGAACACTGTGGAAAGGTGGTGTGCTTCAATCTGAGAGTTTGGGTTTGGATTCACACCCAGCCATGTGACCATCCAATTTCTCTGAGTCTCAGCTTCCTCTCTACCACATAGGGATAATTAGCAGACTTACCTACTTAAGAATATGCAAGACCCTGCCACAGCACCTAGCACCTAGGCTGACAGAGTAAGCGTGCAATCTAAATCTTAGCTCCTTTCTCTGCAAGCTTTTTCCCAACATGGCCAGACTATACTTTCACCAACAGCCATGCTCAGTAGATTATAGAAACCTGGTCATTACACACAGAAAACAATTCAGCTCAGGCTATTATTCAGAGATAGATGAGGTCAGTGTGTCTTAGCTTCTCTGATAGGCTGCCAGGGCAGAGTTCTGCTCTATCTTTTCATATCCCCACTGCCTAACCCAGCTGCTGAACCAACTGGTGAAAATCAATTATCATTAGGCCAGAAGGCATATCCCCTTCTCATTCTCCATACTGCCAATAGAACAGCCTTTGGAGAAAGAAGGGATTCATACAAAAGAGCTTTGGAGGAGATTGTTCATAATGAAATCCATCATTCTGAATGAGAACAAGATAATGGAGCCGCAAAGACTCAGGGGAGAGGCCCTAAGAGCCTACACCTGCCCAGCAGGCTCCCAGAACCTTAGAGCCCACAGGTGGAGAGCCTAGCCTCTTAGGAATAATACGAGGCTTCTACAACAGCCGTCCAATTTGATTAGTGAAACAATTTACGGTTATGCCAAGTCCATCTCCTCTTCTGTTGTTGTTAAGCACCATCGAGTCGGTTCTGACTCATAGCAACCCTGTACAGGGTTTCTGAGGAGCAGCTGGTGGGTTTGAACTGCTGACCTTCTGGTTCACAGTTCAGTGCTTATCCTACAGTGCCACACCAGGAGACTATCTGTTCTGTTAGTGTTGTTTAAAAAACTAATAATAAAAATTGTGGTAAGTATATAAGAGAGGACTTCAAAAGCAAATGGAAAATGAAATGAAAAGATACTGGAAAATTTCCACAGAATTGTATGTGTGTGTATATATAACTCATTTGACATTTCAACACTTCTTACATGTCCAGTTCAGTGACATTAATTACAGTCATCATGTTGTGCAACCATCATCAGTATCCATTTCCAATTAAAAAAAAAAAAAAAGTTCTAACAGAACTGGTGTGGCATTGTGGGTTAATGCATTGGACTGCAAGGTTGGTTTGAACCAAAAGGTTGGTGGTTCAAGCTCATCAACTGCTCCTTGGAAGCCCTGTACAGGGTCAGTAGGGGTCGGAACCAACTTGACAGCACTTAACAACAACAACAACAACAACAACAACAAACAGAAACTCCGTGTCTCTTAAGTAATGATTCCCTCTTTCCTCCTATGTCTTGCCAATAAGTTCTCCATACAAAACCAAAAAGATTTCCATACAAAACTCCCAAGTCCATTCCCGTTGAACCATTTCTAACCCATGGCAGTTCCTGGGTTGTGTAAATGATTTGGGGTTTACTGTGGTACTGTAGGATCAGCACTGGACTACTAACCACAAGGTTCGTGGCTCCCTGGAAACCCTATATAGGGTTGCTATGAGTCAGAACTGACTGGACAGTACTTAACAACTTAATAAAAGCAGACTCTGGTACGGCACTGTGGGATTAGCACTAGACTGTGAACCACATGGTTGGAGGTTCAAACCCACAGGCTTCTCCTTGGAAATGCCGTTGAAGCCGACTTAAAGGCACAACGACAGTATACAGAAGGGTCCTGGTGTGGCGCTGGACCATAAAGCACTGGACCTCAAGATCAGTTTGAACTGCAATGTCAGCAGTTCAAACTCAGCTGCCACTCCTCAGAAACCCTGTACAGGGTCACTATGAGTTGGAACCGACTCGACAACACTTAACAATAATAAATAACATCATAAAGGGCTAAGGAGCCCTGGTGGCACTGCAGGATAAGCACTGGATTGCTAAACACAAGGCTGGCAGTTCAAATTCACCATCAGCTCCCTGGGAGAAAGAGGAGGCAGTCTGCTCCTGTACAGATGTACAGTGCTGGAAACACTGACTTCAAAGGGACTGGATAGAAGGGGGTTTGTGATTTGAGGCTTGTTTTTTCTTTTCTTTTTTGAGCACATTGGTCATATCCCCACCTGTCATGTAGGAGACTGGGGTTCAATTCCTTAACAGGAGGGAGATACTCTTTAAGGAGCCCTGGTGTGGCACTGTAAGGTAAGCACTGAACTGCTAAATAGCAAGGTCGGGAATTCAAATCTATGAGCCACTGCCAGAAAGAAAGAGGCTGCTGTCTGCTCCCATAAAGATTTACAGTCTCTGAAACCCTGTACAGGGCAGCTATGAGTTGGAATCAATTCAATGGCAGTAGTTATTAACCTAAAGGTTGGCAGTTTGAAACCACCCAGCAATACTATGGAATAACCTGTGGATGTGCTTCTGCAAAGATTCTAGCCAAGGAAACTCTCTGGAGTCAGCTCTACTCTGTAACACCTGGGGTTGCCATGAGTTAATTTCAATACATTTCTCTACTGTAGATAGTCCATATTAGTGGGACCATGAAATATGAAGGGGCTTCCAAAAAGTTCATGAAAAATTTCATTATCTTTTTGAAGCCCTTTCGTATTTGTCCTTTGGTGACTGACATTTCACTCAGCATGATGTTTTAAGTAGACTTGGTGTGGCATTTTGGGACAATGCACTGGACCACAAGGTTGGTTTAAACTACAAAGTTGGTGGTTTAAATTCACCAGTCACTCCTTGGAAACCCTTTACAAGGTTGCTATGAGTCAGAAGGCACTTAATAGCAATAATGTTTTTAA